ATATGTATACGCATGCGAACGATGTGAAAGTATCGCGATAAAATCGCGACAGCACGAAAGCTCTCGCGAAAAATGCAGACCTTTAGGGCACACTGTAGGCTATCACCCAACAAAAGCTCACGCTCCTAGCATAGCTTGCAAGCTCAGGAGAGCGTCGAAAAGAACTCCCAGTAACGATATTCAGACCCATTGTTTAGAACGCTGTAAAAACGGAACCGCGTGACATACGCCGACGCAATTCACACACATGACACGTATGCACCAGAGGATTAGTTTCATTCATCCCTCAATCGATCCGGCCGCCATCGAAAAATGTCCACTTATGCCACTCGCTTTCATACCGAAATTATCAGACCAAAAATCATCAAAAAATCTCGCAAGATCGAAAGCTCGCGTAAGCTATACAGGCTCGTAGGGCGCACCGTAAGCTCCCATATGCCCAAAGCTCGCACTCGCAGCTTTACTAGAAAGCTCGCAACAACGTCAAAAGTACCTCGCAAAACCGACATTCTCAGTCACACATATTCTGTCTTTGAAACGCTATAACATTCGAACCACGTGACCTACACCCACGAAATTTCCACACATGATACCTATGCAACTCAGGATTAGTTTGATTCTACCCGCAATCTAATCGGCCGCCATCGAAAAATGTCGATTCTTACCTCACGCTTTCATATCGAAATTTTCAGACCAAAAATCATCAAAAAATCTCGCAAGCTTGAAAGCTCGCGGAAGCTATACAGGCTCGTAGGGCGCGCCGTAAGCTCCCATATACCAAAAGCTCGCACTCGCAGCTTTACTAGAAAGCTCGCAACAACGTCAAAAGTACCTCGCAAAACCGACATTCTCAGTCACACATATTCTGTCTTTGAAACGCTATAACATTCGAACCACGTGACCTACACCCACGAAATTTCCACACATGATACCTATGCACCTCAGGATTAGTTTGATTCTACCCGCAATCTAATCGGCCGCCATCGAAAAATGTCGATTCTTACCTCACGCTTTCATATCGAAATTTTCAGACCAAAAATCATCAAAAAATCTCGCAAGCTTGAAAGCTCGCGGAAGCTATACAGGCTCGTAGGGCGCGCCGTAAGCTCCCATATACCAAAAGCTCGCACTCGCAGCTTTACTAGAAAGCTCGCAACAACGTCAAAAGTACCTCGCAAAACCGACATTCTCAGTCACACATATTCTGTCTTTGAAACGCTATAACATTCGAACCACGTGACCTACACCCACGAAATTTCCACACATGATACCTATGCACCTCAGGATTAGTTTGATTCTACCCGCAATCTAATCGGCCGCCATCGAAAAATGTCGATTCTTACCTCACGCTTTCATATCGAAATTTTCAGACCAAAAATCATCAAAAAATCTCGCAAGCTTGAAAGCTCGCGGAAGCTATACAGGCTCGTAGGGCGCGCCGTAAGCTCCCATATACCAAAAGCTCGCACTCGCAGCTTTACTAGAAAGCTCGCAACAACGTCAAAAGTACCTCGCAAAACCGACATTCTCAGTCACACATATTCTGTCTTTGAAACGCTATAACATTCGAACCACGTGACCTACACCCACGAAATTTCCACACATGATACCTATGCACCTCAGGATTAGTTTGATTCTACCCGCAATCTAATCGGCCGCCATCGAAAAATGTCGATTCTTACCTCACGCTTTCATATCGAAATTTTCAGACCAAAAATCATCAAAAAATCTCGCAAGCTTGAAAGCTCGCGGAAGCTATACAGGCTCGTAGGGCGCGCCGTAAGCTCCCATATACCAAAAGCTCGCACTCGCAGCTTTACTAGAAAGCTCGCAACAACGTCAAAAGTACCTCGCAAAACCGACATTCTCAGTCACACATATTCTGTCTTTGAAACGCTATAACATTCGAACCACGTGACCTACACCCACGAAATTTCCACACATGATACCTATGCACCTCAGGATTAGTTTGATTCTACCCGCAATCTAATCGGCCGCCATCGAAAAATGTCGATTCTTACCTCACGCTTTCATATCGAAATTTTCAGACCAAAAATCATCAAAAAATCTCGCAAGCTTGAAAGCTCGCGGAAGCTATACAGGCTCGTAGGGCGCGCCGTAAGCTCCCATATACCAAAAGCTCGCACTCGCAGCTTTACTAGAAAGCTCGCAACAACGTCAAAAGTACCTCGCAAAACCGACATTCTCAGTCACACATATTCTGTCTTTGAAACGCTATAACATTCGAACCACGTGACCTACACCCACGAAATTTCCACACATGATACCTATGCACCTCAGGATTAGTTTGATTCTACCCGCAATCTAATCGGCCGCCATCGAAAAATGTCGATTCTTACCTCACGCTTTCATATCGAAATTTTCAGACCAAAAATCATCAAAAAATCTCGCAAGCTTGAAAACTCGCGAAAGCTATACAGGCTCGTAGGGCGCACCGTAAGCTCCCATATACCAAAAGCTCGCACTCGCAGCTTTACTAGAAAGCTCGCAACAACGTCAAAAGTACCTCGCAAAACCGACATTCTCAGTCACACATATTCTGTCTTTGAAACGCTATAACATTCGAACCACGTGACCTACACCCACGAAATTTCCACACATGATACCTATGCACCTCAGAATTAGTTTGATTCTACCCGCAATCGAATCGGCCGCCATCGAAAAATGTCGATTCTTACCTCACGCTTTCATATCGAAATTTTCAGACCAAAAATCATCAAAAAATTTCGCAAGCTCGAAAGCTCGCAAAAGCAATATGTTCTCGTAGGGCACACTGTAAGCTCTAATATCCCCAAAGTTCGCACTCTCAGCTTCACTAGAAAGCACGCAGCAGCATCAAAAGTAGCTCGCAATATCGACATACTTACACGTAGAGTGCAAGTCTGCATCACCTATTTAGTTGGAACTTTACAGGCTTAAAGATTTCATCGTGAAGTTCAAGCATATATATCATTGTAGCTGCAACAACGTAATAATTTGTGAGATATTTACGATATGAGTTTTATTAGATCAGTAATTACTAGTTTATTTCAAGTTTTATTTAGTGGAGTTGTGGATTCCCGTCCGTAGTTGGCATTTTTTTAAAATCTATTTTTTGTTTTGTACTCATTTTTCGCATATGAACACATTATGAATAAACAATTGTAAATAAAATTTCTTAATGAAAAAATTTATTTTTTACTCCTTCTCATGCTAGTATATATTTATTTCAAAATAATAAGAATATTATACAAGAAAAACAGTTTTCTATAGCAATCTTATTTAGTACTAACTAATTATTAAATTAAACATCGTATAAGAATGTTGCCTATAATTCCAACTTCGCTGTGCAGTTACAAATGTTCATAAATTAATTACAGAAACTTGGAAGTTTATTAATTTTCTGCTGCCGAATAAATAGAAATTTTACCGCCTGCGATCAGCTCCATCTATGATTTTGGATCATATGCCCGGAAAAGTAATAGGAATATAGAATAAGTAAGGGGGTCGTCGAAGAGCTCGTCACGTGACAGACAAGGACAGCGATACCATAGAAAAGGATAGAAGGGCTCCGATAGTGGAAAATTAATAAATTACTCAATTTCCGTAATTAATATATGAACTTTTATAATTTCTTTGCGAAGTTGGAACTTTAGGCAACATTCCTATATAATTTTCGTACACAATTTATTATGAATTTGTTAGTTATTAATTGTTTGATGGCGTCCATGATTTCGTATCGACAACCATCACGATCTCCCATGAAAATATATAATTCTAATAAAAACTAGAAGCAAAATGTGATCAAAAGTTATATGAGAAGATTCGCAAGAACATTGTCTCTCTAATGAGAGCATAAAGTTTCATAAATTAATTGCGTAGAGGGTAGTAATTAATGAAAAACCAATGTCGTCTTGGACAGCAATTCAAACACTGCGTAGAATGATCATTAATTATTAATTAATTAGGGACAAATTTATATCGAAAAGTATATTGGAAAGTTCTTGAAGGATCTACCTTTACGATGCAATTATAAAAGTTCATAAATTTATCACAGATATCGAGTAATAAGTGAATTTTCCACTACCGATTTGATTTATTAAAATATATTAGGAGCACATAACCAGAGTTAGTAAACTAGCATCAGAGCCATCTATGTTCTTGTTGCGGAACCTGAGCTTTGAGCTAAAGTCATATATATATATATAAATATATATAATGAGCATATATAATGTGAATATAATGAGCATTTTCGTTCTAAATGTGGTTATTAAAATTTAATAATTTAACTTTTGTAAGTGATACAAATAGATAGATAAATACTTGTATTATAAGCGTAGTTATATATGAATTTGTTAAAAATTTACTGAATTATTCAAGATCATATTTTTCACGAATAACTTAAATATAAATAAAATAATATTAAACAAAGATGTAAAAATTATTAAAAAATGTTTGTTTTAAATGACACATCATATCTTATTGATATTCA